TGTCAGCTTAAAAATGGTATTTAAAGGGTTTTTTTGGAAATTGGCTTATAAGTATATGTATATGCATTAGAGTGGTTTAAGATGGACAGCCTGGATTAATTGATTTCTAAAAAACTTGGGTCTCACACATAATGTTTCTCATAGCCCTGGAAGCAGACAGGTTGTCTAACACAACAAGACCAACAAGGCTGGGAACCAAGGGATTAGGTACCATACTGCCCATAACACAAGATAAGTGGCACCAGCTAACAAGGCACCAGAGCAGGCAGGGACGGGGCTGAGTCCTGGTTTTGGGGGAACAGAACAAATTAGGAGAAGGCCCGGAAAGACAAAGTTAATATGTGTGCACAAGAGGGGCTTGGAATCTGTTGACGACACAGTACGTGGACTATGACAACCACAGAGCGGGACCAACCAGAGATAGCTGCGGATGAAGAGTCATCAGGAATCATCAAGAGGGAAGTAGAATATGAAAGTAGAAACTTGAGAGTAACAAAGGAATACCTCCCTTTCTCCCATCCCTCCTCCCTCCCTCCTTGGTCCCTTCCATCCCTCCTTCTCCTCTCTGAGAGGGGTCCCCATCCCCACCCCTAGAGAAGGGTCCCTGAGGCCACCATGGAGGGCATACGACCGGCAGCCCGTCTCATGTACTCCACTGGAGTGGGGAGTGGGCCTCAGCATCCCACCTCCAGGCTGCTGATACACTGACATCTGACACAAAAGAGAGTGCCTCAGAGTGAAGACTGCATCCTGGCCAGATGCACTTTAACTCTGATGACAGCCCTAGGATTTGGCAGATATATAAAATTGTTTCATTGTTTGTATTGCTTCTTTTCTGTTATCACTGTGTATCAGTAAATTTGCCTATTATCAATAGAAAGGTCATGGTTGGTCTGAGGGTGGGCCCCCACTCCCTGCTTCCAAAACAAGGTGTCTGGATCCTAAATCCAGACCCAACACCACCATCCTACTTTCAAGGGAGCCGGAGAATCCTCTCCAGTGTCTGCCTATGGGGCGATGGCAGAGAAGTATGTTTAAAACCAGTGGTATTGTTTAATGCCTCCTTCAGGAGAAAATACATAAAAAATGGAGTTCTGGAATGTATGGAACACAAGGGAGACAGGTTGTCACAAACAGGAACAGAATCATGCATCCACCTTTGTGCTTTTTAACACAGTAGAGATGTAACTTGATGCATTGGCTGTACTTGAACAATTGCACAAATGTCAGTAGACTGCAGAGATGGGATAGTGAGAGCAGGGTAACTCTTGTACTTCGGTTTCCCCAGACTTTCTAATAGGACTCTGCTGCCTGTGTAGAGATGCAGCATTTTGGATTAATCTCTCTGTGTGTTATTAGCAGGGATCCGGGTTTTGCATTTCCCACAGAAAAATGGAAAGAAATGTGGATTTTCCCTTTAACCGAGAAAAACATTGATTTTTTTATTTTAACAGAGAAGCGCTCAGATTTCCCACTTTTGTGAAGGGCTCTCTGCAGACATGCAGAGTTCCAGCCTGCAAGGGCCTGGGGGAGAGCAGGAGAAGGGCGGTCAGGCAGGGGATGCCATGTGCATGTATATGCACATGGCCACCAGGCAGCCTGGAGAGCAGCTCCCACAGGTAAGTCTGGCAGGCTGGGGTGAGGGGAAATTGAGGCCTGCACAAGAATGGAGGGAGGGAGGGAGCTGGGCAGGGCTGGAGCTGGGCAGAGCTGAGGCTGCTGCTGCTGCCCAGCCCAGGCAGTATGTGGAGCTTGGGGTCCAGGACCAAAATGTGTGGCCACAGGGCCCCAGCAGAGACTGGGATGGGGCCACAGGCAACTCATCCATGGGGTGGGGGGTGGGGCTGGCTCCCCCCTGCTGCACAAACTCCCAGGAGGGCAGGGGGACATGTGCCCCCCAGATCTGTTCACAGGGTGGATACAGCTGCTTACTACAGGTTTGGGCTTTTTGCTCTGCTGCCCCTGGGGCACAGCAGGTGGGACCTGGTGTGGCAGGGCAGAGCGGGGCCAGGCAGGGAAGCTTCTTGCTGCTGTGAGCCCTGTGCTGCCTTGAGAAGTCGCCACTTGCTGGGCTGGCAGCATTGGGGGTGGCAGCACAAAAGTGGACCTCTCGCTGCTGCTGGGCAGTCAGGGGGCACTTCACCAGGGCAGCGTGGAGCTTGCAGCGGCAAGGATCTTCCCCACCTGACCCCACTCTATCCAGCTGTGCCAGGTCCTTCCCACTGGGCCATGGAGGGGGAAGGCAGCAGGGTAGGGAGCCCAAGCCCACAGTGGGCAGCCTGCATCTACCCCCGTCTATCTGCTCCACTCCAGCGATGCCCCCTGGAGCCGGGGGGAAGGGGGAGCCGGGCTCCACATTCCACTCTGCTGCAGCAGCCACTGCCACCCGTGGGCAGCAGCTAGGGCTCAGGCACTGCTGTGGGGCCAGGGGGCTGTGGACCCAAGTCTCTGGCCCCATAGCCCTAGCAGCTGGGGGGGGCTTCCGTCAGGGCTGGGAGGTGGGGAGGGGCTGTGGATGGGGCATGAAGAGCACCATCAGGGCTGTGGGGCTATGGGTAAGGAGTGAGGGGCAGCAGCTGAAGTGGGGGGCTGTGGGTCAGGAGTGAGGGGCCTGGACCTGCATACTGGTGAACTAAGGGGCCAGGAGGAGCTCTGATTTTCCATAATAAAAAACCCAAAATCAAAACCAAAATTTATAGGGACTTTGAATGTATTTTATTATAGTGATTGAAGCACTGTTAATCTTCCAAATTGCTTTAAAGTTGTAACTATATCAATAAAACATTGTGTTTAATTGATATATATATATAGCGGTATTTCAATTTAATTGTGGATTTAGGGTTTTTAAATGAGAGAATTTGTGATTTTTTTAAATCAGAGAATTTGCAATTTTGAAACAGAGAAAACCACAATCCCTCATTATAAGAGCAGATGCATATACTGTAACTTAGAGAGGACTGACTCAGCTGTAGCTTTAATAGCCCAGGATATCTTTGGGCTGCCTTAATGTGGTGCATGAAGAATTAGTCCAATGAGTTGCAGAAGGGTCAGAAGAGTGCAAAGAGGGGATTTATATCATGACTCTCTGCAGTCCCATCAGTGTCTATTTGCTTCACTAGTTATATGTTTTCTCTGAGAGGCATCTCATAATTTTTTTTCTCTTAATCTAAAACAAAGGTAATTCTGACCATGTATTTTAGAGTTTATTTTTCTTTAGGGGAAAACAATAGCAGCATATAACTATGACAATATCTGGACTTCCCTTGGGGTGATAAAGAGATTCAAGCCCTTTCCTCAATATCTTGCTGTGTATCCTTGGGGCTCCACTGGGTTTATCTTATGAGAGGCTCATCTCCCCCCAGCAAATCTTGGTCCCACCAGTACCCTGAGTAGACCCTACAGCTTATGGAATGAGAACCCTGTAAACTCTTGGGGGTTTCCTGAGGTTGTAAAGACAGGACTGCTATTCACATAGGAATGGAGAGACTGCTTCTACCAGCTGCCTCCAAATCACTCTTATCAGAGGACAAACTTAAAGATAAAAACCAAAATAGTCTCACTGCATAAAACTGAAAAAAGAGTTGTTCGGTTTAGAAATAAGTATACAGCAATACAACAAAACTCCTTTGCTGCTCTCTTCCAACTTAGAGCTGCCTCCAGATGGTCTCTTCGCTTCAAATGGCTATCAGCGCCAGTCATTTCTGGGGTGATATTTTTAGCCTCTCTGCTGGGTTCGCTTACCTCCTTTCATCCTAAAAATCTAGGTGTCTGATCCTCCCAGAGACTCCCACCCAAATTCCATGATTTATTTATCTCTTCCTCCTTTCTGCATTCACTTCCCTGAAATGTTGTTTATGTTCAGCTGAGGATCTCCTCCCAGAGTTTCCAAACCACTTAATGCATATGCTAATTAAGTTCCTATAGTTATGGACTCAGCTATAATTAAGTGGCAATGCCTTGGGCACAGACACAAGTGCAGCTCCCTGCTGTAACTGAGAACAATTTGTAGGAAGCATTCTAAGTTACAAGGATCCCCTGGATCAAACAGAAGTTCATTGTTGTTTCCAGTGGGGAGGGGAATCTAACTGCTGGCTGCTAACCTGCATCCAGTTTCCCCAGGCAATGGCCCCTCCTCTCTCCTAGTCTGTGCTGTGAAGTGCTGTGGAAGCCCCCCACCCCAGGGGCCTCCAGTACTCCCACCTCACCCTCCAGGAGGGGATAAAAAACCCCAGACTGAACTCCCTCCACTCCCTTTCCTCCTTTCCATTCTGAAAACAGCAACAGGCTGGGAGGCAGGGCAGACACAAGTTACTCTGTTTTGAAACATCTTCATCTGAACCATCATACAACGGGTTTCCTCATTTTCACCTGATTGGTCATTTTGTAATTGGTCTGCAGCCATGCGCTTGTGTTTGGTCACTACTATAGACCGCTTTCTGGGGCCAGATCAGGCAAAAATTGTCACTTCTATCTGTGCCCAACGTCTCACACCACAGCATTAACAAAAAGACAATTTGTTGATTAGGTTTCCCTCAATCACTACAACGCATATTTTATATTGAAAACTATATTTCATACAAACATGCAATGATAAAAATGAACACAGCTAGTTATTAGTTGTTGATTGAGACCAAATATAATGGTTGTTAACCCAGCTTGGGAGGATACCTGGTTTGCTATTTCTGTTATGTTGCTGGGTTTCTAGCTCTGATTAAATTGAAGTACTTGCTACCTTAGGTTTATTTTTGTTTTGTAAATTCCTTGTTATACTTTTGGGCTGTGGCACTCTAGTTACATAATGTTATAGTCTCACCTCACAGTATTGTGTTGTAATCTTGTTGAGTAACGCTGGGTTTTCACATGATGATGATGCAAGTCATTTTGATAGACAGTGGCTTTCAAAGTAAACCAATAATAACTTCAGCACGTGAACTCTCTAGATGCCAGCTCTCAGTTTTTCAATGACTCTCCAGCTTCAGCTATGATGTCCCTCCAGCCATATCTATATGCTATGATTTCTACACTCTCAGTTCTTCAGGTGTTTGCATCGGACACATACACTGCAGCAGTGTATGAGCATGCTGTTATTCTGCCAGATGTCACTGACAAGCCTGTGTCTCTTGATGAAGCTTTGGTACTGATGAACAGAAATATAGATGTTTTGGAAGTAGCCATCAAAGAAGCTGCCCAGCAGGTACTGCCTATTGACTCCCCTGGGTTATTTGCTTGACAGCGATAGCAAGTGTTTAATTTAGCCTGTTTTGCCAGGGGGCACACATCATCGTGACTCCAGAAGACAGTGTTTATGGCTGGAACTTCACAAGGGAAACCCTTTACCCTTACCTGGAAGATATCCCAGATCCACAGGTGAACTGGATTCCATGTACCGATCCCCAAAGGTATGATTTACATTGTGTCCACAGGTTTAACATGCTGCAATGATCTTGACAGAAATGGTCTAGTAACAAAAGCAAAATACTTCCCAGGGATTTCTGCATTCAGCCCTATAATTTTTATATACAGCCATTAAATAGCCCAATATATCCCATCTCCACACCAACTAAAAGGGAAATCCAGGTAAAAATAATTGCTTTATAAATCAGATGCACCAAACTCCTTAGTAAGGCAATAATATGAAACACTGGCTGCCGAAAGGTCTTGAGATAACCTGACTCTTAACTTGTACCCAAAGAACAGAGTGGAGAAGCTTCAGACTTGATTTGCCACGTTCTGTTTTTTTGCCTTCTAATTTTTTATTTTTTCCCCATTTACCTTATTGCCTCAATTGTGTTATGTGAAGATAGTGTGTTACATAAGCTAAGGTAAGGCTGATCCTCCCCTACATGGGGGGCTTTCACTTAAACACATTTGATTTCAAAGAATTGCTATTTTCAGCATTCATCTGGACTATGATTTTTGTTGTTATAAGGAGAGGTTTTAAATGGTTTACCAGCAGGTGGCACCCTGATGATATGCTTTGTCTTTTTTGTTTCCATCACTAGGACTATTGTACTCTTCTTCTATTCTGGTATTGTCTGAAGCATGAATTCCACAGTTCTGAAGGGTGTAAATTGTGTGACCTCTTGCTTCAAACTGCTAATGCTGCCCTTGTCAAGTTTATCTGTTAGTAATATGGCTGCTTTGAACAGCAGGTGATAGAACCACATGGATGTAAGATTATTTGAAAATGGACTAAAATTTGACCTTTCAGAAAATATTTTAACCTTTATTATGCTATTACATGTCTATATTATGAGTCAGCTCTGGCCACATTAATGAACTTCCTTTCTTCCTTCCAGATCTCTCCTAGGTGGACATACATTTAGTTAATTTAGGGAGAAATTGTGCTTCTATCTCTCTTTTTTTAAAAGGTTCTGCTTAACTCAGATATAGGGGTCTGCAAGATAACTGAACATGCACAGAGATTCTGCTGCTATCTCACACAGCAACACAAGTTAAGCTGTTATTTGCCAAATTACCAGCAGCCTTATCCATCCAGTGAGCCTAGTGGCTCACTGGGAAATCCAATTTGTGATGGACAAGAGTCAGGGCCAGTAGAAAGAGACAAGAATTGTTCTTGTGCCACTGTAGTTCTATTGTATGTTAGTACTGGGGGAGGGAATGTGGTTATTTGATTCTCTGTCTGCTCTTCTGAAATTCTGTCCTTTTTAGCCCACGTGAAGAATTTGGTATCCCCCTTCGCATCTGAAAAATGAACCTGCTTAATATTTCTAAGAGTTGGGGAAAAACGATTTAAAATATGAGCAATTAGAAGTCTTTTTTCAAACTAGAGAGAGTAAGGGTTTTATATTATAGTAAGGGCAAAGCAGACACGAGGCTTAAATCAGCCAAGTGAGTCTTTGGGAAGTTAAGGTGTGTACAGAAGTGCTCCATGCATGTTTTACAGCACTGTAATTTAGAGCACTTTTTATAGCAGTATAAAGTTACAGCACTCTTAAACATTGCACTGGGAACAGGCACCACATCTGCCAAGCGGCGAGGCAGCAGCTTGCAAAGCCCATGGGATACTGGTGGAATCACCAGAAATTTGACCAGCATACAGAAGTTATTTGAAGTGCTGTAGGTTGCTAAACTGCTGCAAAATACAGAGTTTCAAATTTAATATCTCACTTAACAGGGATTAATTTAAAAAGCTGTAACCATTTCTAAAGTGCTGTAAAGCTGTGCACTTCTGTTAAGGCATAGCAATAAAGTGCTTTAATTGGTGAAAGAAATACCATCTGTACACCCCTTAATTATTACCATTAAGTTCCATTTGATCAATCCTGTTTGCATCACTTGGGGGGTTTTCATCCATTGAAATAATAATGTCAAGTCTATTTCATCCTCATTCATATTCTTAATTTGTTTTGATCCTGTTGGTTTTCCTTTCACCACTTACAAACTAGATTTGCTCCTGCACCAGTGCAAGAAAGACTCAGCTGTTTGGCAAGGAACAACTCCATCTATGTAGTGGCAAATATAGGGGACAAGAAACCCTGTAATTGCAGTGATCCCAAGTGCCCCAGAGACAGTCATTATCAGTACAATACTAATGTTGTCTTTGATTCACAAGGGAAGCTGGTGGCACGTTATCACAAGGTAATGAATGCTTTTATTACCATTTCTATTTTAGCAGGTAATTAACTGATTCATTTTCATCATGATGTTGTTGGGTGACCGGTCCAAGGGATTGAACAGGGAGAAAGATACTAGTGGAGGGTTCTCAACTCTTGAATTTGCTTTTCTTGGATACCTAGACCTAGAGCTCACACTCATTACAAGCTTCATCATCATTTTGGCTGTTTCTTGGTGATGGCTCACACTTCCTTTAAAAAAAAATCTTATTAGCTAAATTTAGGAATGAGCCTCTTACTTAGTCAGTTTTGAGGCAAGGAACATTCTGAGACTTGCATAGAGCAGAACAAGGTCTCTTTCCATGTCTTGGACTGCTATCTCAATACAATTATGTATTAATAATACTTGTGTAATTTTCAAGACCTGTACCTGTGCTCAGAAAATGAGAAAAGTCCTTGTAAAACTGGAAATTAAATTAGACCTCTTTCTCAGCTCTTCTTCAATCTGTCAAATATCTCTAATGCCGTGAATGTATAACTAGTATCACGAGCAACTGGTGCCACCTTAGTCAGGGGGGGCATGTGCCCCCCCACAACCAGTCAGTGACCAGGGGGGGTCTCCCTGTAGCCAATCTCTCTGACCAGGGGCGGGGGTTCCACTGTGGCCAATCTCTCTGCAGCCAGTCTCTCCAATTGGGGGGACGTGGCCAATCTCAACAGACAGGAAGTGGCCACAGCACTCCTGCAAGTGGCTGCAAGCTCCCTTTCCCTGGCTGGCACTCTTGGGGGGGGGGGGCACCGGCACTCCCACCTGCCCCCCCCCGCCTATTGCCTAAGCAGGGAGCGTGGCCTGTCAGGGGGTGCACCAGCGCTCTCAGGGTGTGCACATGCACCCCTGTGCACCCCCTACATGTTGCCACTGACTAATGTACTTAGTCAGGTTTTATTGGCATAAGCCAGCAGTTCAATAGCTTATAGTTCAGGGATGATTTTTTCAGTTTTATAAATTTTCTGTAAGCAATCATTGACATATCTTAATTTATATTTCTTTTTTTTTTTTTAAAGTATAATCTATTTAGGTCAGAAACACAGTTTGATTACCCTAAAGAGCTGGAAATGGTCACCTTCAACACATCTTTTGGGAACTTTGGCATTTTCACCTGCTTCGACATCCTTTTCCATGACCCAGCTGTTGTCCTAGTGAAAAAATTACATGTAGATACTGTGTTGTTTCCAACAGCTTGGATGAATGTTCTGCCATTTTTGACTGCTATTGAAATCCACTCAGCTTGGGCTATGGGGATTGGTGTCAACCTTCTAGCATCTAACACACACAATACCCTTATGGCTATGACAGGTAATTTGCAATATGGGGGGGAGGGGGGATGATGATGCTTTTTCCACCTTCCTCCTATGCCTTGGGATGTGCTTTCAACAAATATTTTTTCGTGAGTAGCGTAACAAGATGTTGATTTACTGCTTGAATTGAATAACTCTTTGGTTTTAAAACTGTATACTGCAAATTACTCCAAAGAATAATTAAAATAGCAAGGTTAAAATCTGTTCCTAGTCTCTGATGTTTAAGAAAAGTGATTGATTACTGCTCTTACATATTTATCTCTTCAAAGGATGCTCTGCATTCTGTTAATAAAAATTGGTGGATGGTGATTTAACTTGTCTTTTAACCTGTTTCAACCCCGTTGGAAGATAGGACTATTGTAGTTTTGTATCCTCCTGAGACCTCCTGCTGCTTTTTACTTAGTGTTTCTTGTGTTTTAACGTTGAACCACCTGTACAATATCCAGTTTGCTTTAACTGGATAAACTTCCAGTTATGCTATGAGCATAACTTTTTGCTTCTGTTTTACTTGTTCCTTAAGAATGCAATTTTTCCTCTAGTAAGCTGTGGCTGCTAACTGCATCCAGTTTGTCTGATGGAGCACATCACTATTTGCTTGCCTATACCAGGCCTTCAGTAACAAGAATTACTTGTTTTAAAGAAGTAGTAATGATAGAACATTATTTTGACTTTTAACCCCTTGTCAGACTTCATAGCAGCCTTATTTAAGATTGTATGGTACAGTAGGCCAAGGCAGAGCTGGAACTCAGGCTAGCATCCAGGATTAAGGACAACAAAAAATCCTTTTTCAAGTACATTGGGAGCAAGAAGAGGGCACCAGGCGATTGTAGGGCCCCTGCAAGACGCAAACGGTAATCTTGTGGCTACGCCAGTCAAGAAAGCTGATATTGTTAACAGTTTCTTTGCCTCTGTTTTCTTGAACAGGGACTGGGTTATTCCACCTACCAGAGGTAGGGACAATCTTGGGGATAGCTCTGTCAGGCCTTCAGTCAGTGCAGATGTAGTTAAGGATCTTTTGGAAGGGCTAGACATTTTTAAATCTGCAGGTCCAGGTGCCTTCCACCCAAAGGTGTTGAGGGAGCTGGCAGGGGTCATCGCGGAGCCCTTGGCCTGGCTGTATGAGCATTCGTGGTCATCTGGCCAGGTGCCGGGGGATTGGAAACTGGCTAATGTGATCCCAATTTTCAAGAAAGGACGACCCAAGTAACTGTAGGCCTGTAAACCTCATCTTAGTGCTCGGGAAGGTCCCGCAGCCAGCAAGGCCATCAAGGAGCACATCTGTGGTGGGCTTGCAGGGGAGATCATGCTCAGGGACAATCAGCATGCGTTCATCAAAGACCGGTCCTGCCTGACCAACCCGATTGCCTTTTATGACCAAGTAACTAAATCCTTGGATGATGGTGTCACTGTGGACATAGTCTTTCTAGACTTTAAGAAGGCCTTTGACACTGTCTCTCACCCCATCCTCATCAACAAATTAAG